CTAGAATTTGTTGCTCATTTTAACTTTTTAGTTAGCAACAAAATCGAAAATCGACTTATTTCAATAGTACAATGCTTGCAGATTATTTATATACCGAATTCATGTGAGTAACAAGAAGGATCGGGCAAGGGAACTTAGAGCGCGCGGCGCGGTTGGCCGAGATAAACTATTTAATTTTTACATGAAAGTGTTAGCAACAAAATCGGAAATGGTTATATTTCAATAAAACGGTGCTTGCAAATTGTTTGTGTACCGAATTCATGTGAGCCACAAATTCTGGAAGGATCAGACAAGGGAACTTAGAGCGCGCAGCCCGGTCGACCGGGATAAAGTATTTAATTTTTACATGTTAGAGTTAGCAACAAAATCGGAAATTGTTATATTTCATTAGTACGATGCTTGCAGATTGTTTTTATGTCGAATTCATGTGAGCCACAAATTCAGGAAGGATCGGGCAAGGGAACTTAATTAGAGCGTGCGGCGCGGTAAGCCGGGATAAAGTATTTAATTTTTACATGTTAGAGTTAGCGACAAAATCGGAAATTGTTATATTTCAATAAAACGATGCTTGCAGATTGTTTTTATATCGAATTCATGTGAGCCACAAATTCAGGAAGGATCGGGCAAGGGAACTTGTAACAGGCGCGCAGGGCATACTGTGTAGGTTTTCTGCTATTGTTTATATTTATTTTGCGAGTAATTAAATAAAAACAAACATATTTCATGAGCAACAAATTAGCAACAAATTCTGACGTTATTTTTATGCATAATTTTGTTGTTATATATATTTTGTTCTGCTAACTTAATCTTCGTTTAGCAGAACATCATTTAAAAAAAAAACTATTAAAGCAACAATTTATTTTCTTTGGCAACTTTTTAACAACAAATAAGCAACAAATAATTTCACTGCTTAGAATTGATTCTGCTTATTTTGTTCTGCTAACTTATAAGATGTGAGGCTGGCCGAGCGACGCATCGTTCGTGATGTGGTGTCACGTGACGGCTCACGGCAGCGGCGTAGCCGCCGCCACGCGTTGCCGGCCTATCCCCTCCACACGGTCGTATTTGTCGTAAATGCCGTCCACCCGGAATCCCTGCTCTCGTCCCGTCCCCGAAAAAACGGATGCTTCCCTTAATCTAGCGTCGCGAACGATCGGAGCAAGAACGAGCGGAGATGTGTTGCGAATGAAGAATGGAAGTCGGTCGATAATCGCGCCCCGTGCCCCCCGTGAGGGTACTTGAATTTCTATCGATTTTTCGACGCGGGTCGTATATTTTTAGCGGGGGGGGGGAGGAGTTTTCCAAAGTGCCGAACGAACGCGCACGTTGTAACGCGAGTGTGCCTAAAAAGCGATCGTTCCGAAGCGAATGAAGCGTCCCTACACTCGCGGTGTCTTATAAGTGCGTGGGTCTCACTGGATTTTCTTTTATTAAGTTCACTTGTCCTGTCTGTGTGCAGAGGAGCTGCGAGAGGGAGGCGATGGCACGGTCGAGAGGAACGTGAGAACCTGGCACCGTCACCCTGGCGCGTGGCAAATCGGGTCAAAGGCCTGGATCCTCGTCGTCCTCGTCCGCGGAGAGGCTGCAAAAGATGCCCGGGCCGTCGACGGCGCAAGAGAGGCCCCGCGCTCACCGGCTCACCGACATCGAGTCCCAGACGAAGGTTGAAAGCCCGCGGAGATCATATGAGAGATGCACCTGTGGATTCATTCACGTGACACGTATCGCTCGCTTAAAGCCTGGCTCGCAATAAGTGTGGTAGCTTTCTGCCTTTCTGCTCTAAACTGTGATGTTTTCTTTCTTTCTTTTTTTTCTAGTAAGAAGTGTTTCCCGGTGTTGCCTCAATCATTGGTGGTGACTGGATCACTTGAGACCTAATGAGTCATTAGTTTTTCAAGATTCCTTCTATACATTTCCTTTGTATTGCAAGGGAAAAGTTAAACTCAAAAACTGCTGCTTTTGTTCTACCGCTGCATGATATAGACTTATGCGCAGAGCAATTTTTTGATTATCCAACTGGTAAGAGTCAAATATGACAGCAGCAGTCCTTTGAAAGATACATCTTCCAAAGGTTAAATTGTTAATTCCTAAGCGAGCTGGCCAGATTGCAGCTGTATAGAGTTTAGTTTTAGCAAATTAATGTCACAACTCAGCGTTCACAACTTAAAGCAAAAGGCTGAAGATTTACTATATCTATTTGAGTTGGAGTAGATTTCGAAGCAAAGATTAAACTATTAATTTGTAAGCGAGCTGGCTAGATTGCAATTGTAGAGTTTAGTTTTGGCAAATTAAATTAACTCAACTCAGCGCTTAAAGCAAAAGGCTAAGGATTTAATATGTCCACTTGAATTGGAGCAGGTTTAAAAGCGAGGCGAGCATGTCGAACGTTTTACATTGCACAAGTTTAATGTAAACTTCCAGATGGAATTCCCGGTATTTACTCCGTTGAATGAAATTGCAGGGTATGGGTGGTAATCGGGCGGACGATTTCGGCACGCCTGTCAGCTCCGGCAGCAACATGAGCAGCATCGCACGCTTTCCGAAACTCGACGAGTGCGCTCACTTTCACTACGAGCACGTGGAGCTTGGTACTCTGGAGGTAGGTTACATGCAAAAAAAAAAGACTTAGCATTATCAGCTAAATATCAGTGGTATAGTTCGAACTTTGCTGTCATTGTTAAAAGTTAGCTGTTAAAGAGAAAATATATTTGTTGCAAGATACAATTTTATGAGCTAAAATGAAAGCGTACTTTAACAGAAGTAGCTAAGACAGTGGCATGTGGAAAGAATGATTTTGCTGAAAAATTTAAAAGTTTTGCTGGATATTTCTCAATAGAATCAGTTAAGCGTCATTTGATTCTAGCAAAAAAGATATTTTTTGCTTGTATCGCCTAAATTTTAACAACTTTTTAATAAATTTAGCTTTGGCAGTAACGATATTAGCTTATTTTAAAGACACACATCAGCTGCTAAGGCTATATTTTAGCTGCATTGGCTAATCCTTTCTCTGTGTGATAGACAAGCGCGAAACACGCGGAAAGTCAGTTGTCAATTAACGAGACTCGGTTTTCAGGTGTCCGTCAACGAGGGCTCCAACGACTCGGAGAGCTACGCCGTGCGAATAACATCCGGCGACGCGTGCTGGACGCTGCAGAGATCCTACGACAACTTCGTCATGTTCGACAAGCAGCTGCACCGTTGCATATTCGACCGAAAGTTTTCCTCCTTAACGAAGCTTCCAGATGTTCGGCCAAAAAATGCCTGTGATATACTGAAGGATTACTTGGGCCGGTTCTCGCAGCTGAATCACGAGGGCCTGAATTGCGGCCCGGTGTTAAATTGGTTACAACTCGATAATAGGGGACGGAGGATTCTGGTGCCGGAGTCGGATTCCTGTCCTATCAATACCCCGGCCGTCGCCGCGGCGTACGCCGTCAGGCCTTACACCGCTCAAGCGCAGGATGAGATCTCCTTCCAGGTAATCTCTCCCTCTCTCTCTCGTTGAAACTTTCGCTTGGAGAATATAAACTGAATGTCCATTTCCACCGATTGTAGATTATCTTCAATCTCGGTTTATCGCTCACTGTTTATCTTTGTTTACACTGTTAAAAATGTCAAGCAGGTACATTAAAAATATTTAATGTTGCTAATGAAAATGAAATTACAACTAACTTAAATTAATTAACTAATGTTCAACCAACTAATGTTCATATAGTGCATTAAATTTCATGCATATCCACATGAATACTTATACTTTTACATAAAACTTTATTTCATGCACCTGTTCACAAATATACTATAAAATTTAATGTACTTTGAAGTTACACAAGTACATTAAATTTAATGTATCCGTAACTAAAAAGTATATTTGTGAACATGTGCATGAAATTTAGTGTACTTTTTCGTAAAACTTTATGGAAGGGTATAAGTATTCATGTAGATGTGCACGAAATTCAATGAAACATATGAACATTAGATTTACGTTAGTTGTAACTTTCATTAACAACATTAAATATTTTTAATGTATCTGCTTGAAATTTGTTTCCATACATGTAAAATTTAATTAATTTTTTTTTTTTTAACAGTATAGTTCTGAAAATCAGAAAGAGATAAAGAATAAGCTAACGCGAGATTAAAGTTAAGCTATATCGAGCATAAATGTTCATTTTCATTAATATAGATTAAATTTAATCTCGGTTCAACACACTTACTTATCTTGTTCTGCTCCTAAAAACTAGAAAAAGATAAAAAGTAAGTTAAACCGAGATTAAAGTTAATCTATAGGTATCGGTAGAAATTACGAGCACAACTCGTAAATCTTTGTGAACGAGAACCTGTACGATAACTGATGGAGCGCTTTACATGACACAGGTAGGCGACATGATATCCGTTATTGACATGCCCCCTCCGGGGGAAAGCACGTGGTGGCGTGGAAAGCACGGGTTCGCGGTTGGATTTTTTCCGGCCGAATGCGTCGCCGTGATCGGGGACAAGGTGCCGCGTCACTTGACGGTCTCGACGACGGTCAGGTCGAGGTTACCGGTGAAGCCCGTGCTGCGGAAACACGGCAAATTAATCGCCTTCTTTAGATCTTTCATACTAAATCGCCCATCTAGACGGAGATTAAAGCAATCGGGTATACTGCGAGAGCGCGTGTTTGGCTGCGACTTGGGGGAACATCTACTGAACTCTGGTCAAGACGGTAAATTTTTTTTCTTAGCACACCTTTATATTATTTTCAAATCACGTCGAGTATATAAACTGTGCAAAAAAGGAAAGGAAGACGAAGGAGAGATTACTCGTTTTTGTAGTGCCTACCGTTTTGACGTGCTGCGCGGAATTCATAGAGAAACACGGTCTAGTCGACGGTATATATCGCCTCAGTGGCGTGACGTCCAACATACAAAAATTGCGGAACGCCTTCGACGAGGATAGGGTACCAGCGTTGCATTCCGATGAGAGTATTCTGCAAGATATCCACTCCGTAGCGTCGTTATTGAAGATGTACTTTAGAGAGCTGCCGAATCCGTTGTGCACCTACCAGCTCTACTCCACCTTTGTCAATGCGGTTCAAGCCGGCAGCGACGCCGAGAGATTGAGGCGTATGAGGGACGCGGTCAGGAAGCTACCGCCGCCGCATTACAGGTGAGGTTTCGTCATATCGCTTTCTATCAATGAGAGTTCGGCGATTCATTCTAATCCCTGTCAAATTGCATGCGCAGGACGCTGGAGTATCTGATGCGTCATCTGGTGAGGGTGGCCGCGCGTGGCACGGAGACGGGTATGACACCGCGCAACGTGGCTATCGTCTGGGCGCCGAATCTTCTGAGGTGCAAGGAGCTGGAGGTGGGCGGCGTGGCGGCGCTCCAGGGCGTTGGGGTCCAGGCGGTCGTGACGGAATTTCTAGTCTGCTACGCGGAGCTAATATTCGGGGACGGCCCGGTCGGCAGACCGAAGTCCCTGGCGATCACCACATCCGCACGGTTGCTCACTTTAGAAGAGGCGCGCAACAGAAGCCTCAGAGGCGAGCCCGATTACATAGAAGTGGGGGCGGGTCCGGCCGGCCTGCCGTTGCGCTATCACACGGTCATCGAGCTGCCGCGCAAGCGAAACGGCTCGAAACGATCGCCCTCCCTCAATTGGCGGGCGCTGTTCGGCCGGGGCGCCGTCGGGAAAACGAGGCAAATCGGCACGCCGCCACAAGCGGAAACGGTGCCGAGTTCCTTGAACTCCCTGCGACGACTGAGACCCGTCAAGAGCGCCGACAGCCTGGACGGCGAGGATGGATTGGGTCCCCTCCTGGGTGGGCCGCCTCCCATCAGAACCTGCGGTCACAGCCGATCGGTCTCGCACGACTCGTACTTCGACCACCTGGCCGACGCGCCCAGCGCGTCCTCGCCGTTGGATCTCTCGGAGATACAACTCAACTTTGATCTCGAAGAGCGAGAGATGCGGATGCTTTCGGAGGAGGAAGGTGGCGGGATGGCGTCGGTGGAGGCGTCGCCGCGCCGGCAGAGGACCGAGGGAAGTCAGTGCGCGGCCGCGAGCGGCGGATCCAAGAGGAAACGATCTCGTTTAGAAGAAAGACTGCACTGCGACGTCGAGTTGCGTTTCATAGACAGCCAAAGTCCCGATCAGGTGATTAACCGTAAATTATAGCGAATTCGATTGGACGCACTTGTGCATATATTAAGATCGTCGTATACAAATTAGCATAAACATAGTGTGTAATATAAATGTAAAAACAGCTTAAATTGCGAAATCCTCAGTACATCTTACTGCACTATAAGATAAAATACGTACATATTTCATAATTTGAAATATTTGCATTTTCATGCATTTCACACACATTTTTACTTGTCAGTGATGAAAACAGTGTACGGCCTTAATGTGCACCAGTGCGCGTCCGATGGAATTCACCATTAGTTTAAATTCATTTTTCATGCGTATACGTTATGTCTAAGCCATCGAATCTTTCAGGTAATGGTGGCGACAAGCGCGGATATTCACAGTATCGACACACCGTCTCCGTTACAAACGCCGGGCTACCTGCCATTATTGTCGGAAGCCTCCACGCCGTTGACGCCCGCCACGTTGCAGGGCACGTCTCACTCCACGTCGCCGGTACCGGCCAATAGTCCCAGAATAAGTTTCCGAAGTTTCACGTTGCCGTTAGAGATTGGCGACGAGCGCGACGCGGGCGGTGCGAGTAAGTCGAAGGAGACCAGCGTGTCGTCTTCCGAAAAGTCGTCGGATCCCAGCCATAGATTATCCGTAAATTTAGAAGATCGGGACAAGAGATTGGAGCCGTGCGAGAGGATTGTCGCGTACGACGGGCGAGCGGAATTGCACGGCGAGAGGAACGCGACCACGTCGCTTCCGCGCGCCGAAAGCCGCTGCGCGACTCAGTCGAGCGCGGTTGCCTCGATTTTTCACGACACGGAGATGACGTCGTGCGACAGCAGGTTGCCCTCTTCGCGCATCGGGACCGCATCTCGCAAGGACGTGACGGGCAGGCGGAGCGGTTTGCATTCCGTGGAGATCTCGTCTAAATCGTACGAGAAGGAAGAGGCCGCGAAAGGATGCGACAAGTCCGCCGATCCGCCGAACAGTCTCTCCACCGATTTACCGAGGTTGCCATCCAGCACGACCGATCTCGATTCTCCGATGTCGTGCGAGCAGACTCTGCAGGAGCTGCGGGAGTCCGGATTCGTGATTTGCGACAGCTCCGACAAGGTGTTCACCGGCGTGGAAAATCCGCGCGCGACGGGCAGCAACAACGACTCTGGCGACTGGGTGATCGTCGGCGGGACGACAGCCAATTCCTTCGTGACGGCGATCAGCGAGTCGAACAGTCCCAACGATTCCTTCGTGGAGAGCAACGCGAATCCGGCGTCGGAGAACGTCCCGGGGACGCTGCTGGAGCTCGCGCTGCCGCCGACCGCGGACGCGTTCTGCATGGGAGTCGACAACTCGGCGAGAAGTCGTATGTCGACGCGGGAGAGCGAGGAGATGCTCGACGTTACCGACACGAAGAAGTACGCGAGTCGCGGCCACGAGGCCGATCCGCAGGCGAGTTACGGTCTCGTAAGCGAGGATACGCTCACGGACGACGTTCAGTCTCGGCTGCGCGACCGGGAGAACGGCAATCGGTGCTCGTGCACGACGGACATCAACTCGGGCCAGGAGTCGAACGCGAGGGAGCAGCAGCAGGTTCGCGCGTGTTACATCGAGGCGGACAACGCGAACGTGTTTGGTACAAATCGGAACGAGGTGCGCGACAACAAGGAGCTGTTCGGCGAGACGGACACCTTCGAGAACTATCGCCGTCTGTCGAGAGACACGAGCGCGCAGCAACGGGATTGCAACACCACCCACGTCACGAATCATCCGCGATTTTCGAGCAAACCCGAGGACGACCATGGGACGAGGGACGTGACGCGGGGGGACGATTGTGACAACGACCGTTGTACGAACGGACTGTCAAAGAAGTGCCAAAGTTTCGGATACAATAATTCGCAGCAAAAGCAGCAGAGCAATACGCAGCAGATGCGCAAATGCGCTTCCAAACGTGGCGGCGGCGACGACGGTGGTCACAAGTGCACCAGCCTGCAAGCCAGCCAGAAACGAGGTAACATCGAGGTGAGGATCCCCTCGGAGAACGCGGCCGAGCCGTGCGAGGTGGCGCACGCCCCGGAGGGGGCGTCCGAGCTGATGGAACGGACGTTGGACACGTCGACGAGCGCATTCCCGTCGTCCCCGGCCGTTGTTGACGATGACAACGCGGTGGTGGTTCTTCCGCCGCGCGACACCGCGGCGATCCTGCAGGAGCTGGCGCTACAGAGACTGTCCGGCGGCGCCGTGGGTGACGCGTCTGCGCCCGCGCCCGCGAGACGGAAATACGAGAGCGAGACGAGCTTCAGGGAGCGGAGGAGCTTCGACTCGGAGATCGGCAGGGAGATCGTCCGCGAGAGCAAGATGAGGCAGGAGCTGGACAACGCAAGGGGCAAGTCCGAGGAGCCGTCGTCGCAGCAGCAGCAGCAGCACTTGCCGCCTTGCCTGCGGGCGCGCCACGCGAGAGCGACCCGGGCGGCGCTGAGCCGCTCGCTGGACGAGGCCAAGTTCAATCGGATGACATCGGGTGACATCGCGCTGTCGGTGAAGCTGTCGACGCCCGACGACGCGCAGCACTGCTCGACGCCCAATGTCGGCAGCAGCTCCGGCACCTGCTCGAGCGCCGCCGAGAAGATCCAGCTGAGGAACCTCGGCGGCCTGGACCTGGGGGACCCGCAGTGTCGGGAGAGAATCGAAAAGTACAAAGAGGAGAGGCGGACGTTCTTGAGGGACAAGTATCGGTCGGAGAGTTTCCGCGGGGTCTCGTCGAAAACGGAGGATGACGGCGAGCAGGCGTTACTGACCAGGTTGAAACAGAGAGCCTCGAGGCCGTCTCTTCATTGATGAAAGCCGGTCTTCGTAAGACCGGGAAAAAAAGAGAGAGAGAGAGGGAGAGGGAGCGCGAGCTCGCGTCCTCTCCGGTAGTATAAATAAGTTCTTTTGAGCAGTTTAACGCGCAAATGCGATATCTATTAGCTACCTGCTATCATAGAACAAGTGCAAACAACACGTTTACGTAGCGGCGGCTGTGTCGAATTTTAATCAATCTTGTACGACCAAAAATTTTATCAACCTTGTTCTTAACGCCAACGTTCTGCTTTCGTTTTTCGAAATATAAAAAATAGGTCAACTAATTGGAGATAGGGCGGGACGTATCGAGCAAATCGTATATCTGTAATACGGTAATAATAGAGAATGGCGTGTTTATCTCTTAAATTACATAACTCTTACGGCTATATATTTTTATTGAATTGATATTCGATATCCCCAGGTATGTACGCTAACTTGGGCTTATTTGTACTACTCACGGGCGAGTGCCGTGTGTTGGCATTCGACGACATAATTATTTATGTAATTCTGCCAAACGCTCTTTTTTCACTAGGTCTCCACTGAACCGCTTTCACTTGAATCTCCGCCGGGTTCTAAGCCGTGGCGCATAACGAAGGTCGCGATTGATAATGAAGGTGAATTACGGCGAGGATGATTAAAAAAAAAAAAAAATACGAAGTTGCGCGATCCATGACTCATCTTCGATATCGTCGATCGCCATTGTTAGCTGAATTGTACGAACGCTTTTAAAGCTCATTATTAATTTATTACGGACTCGAAGGAAGGTATTCATTTTTATTATTGTTAGAAGCTTTAATAACGATTCTCTTTGTAATTATTATTATCATTATTATTAATATTATTATTATTATTAATATTATTTGATTTTTATATTTACTCATATTCTTTGTACTGTTAACGCTAGCGAAAAGAAAACGCGCGCATGTAATATCTCAGCTGCTTTGTATGTACCAGAGAGTCAACAATATCTTGCGTAGGTTCTCGCGACGTCAGACGAAGCGTCGGCCGCACCTGTTGCTTTTACACGTCTTAGGTAAAAAAATCGCTTACAGAAAAAAGAACTCTTGACTTTTTTTTTTTTAGAGAGACAGAGAGAGAGAGGCTCCTTACTAAGCCACGTAAAATCTGGACGTCTCTTTTATAGCGAAATTACATAACTTCTCTCGAAATCTAGGTGATCGGTCACGCATTTTTTTCTCGCGACAGCCGAAATTTCTGGTACATACAATAAAGTTGAACTAAATTTACAAATCGCGAGTTCGTCGAGGGGAGGAAGGGGAGAAGGGAGAACTCGACGGACTCGCTTACGAGAAACGTTAGAACCGGGGCGTTTCACTCGCGCGCACCGAATGTTATTCTCTCGTTATGGACTGGTCCATAATGACCCCACAGATATATCTTTTTGAATATATATATACGTTAATTCTCTCTCGGTTAACTTAATATGTGTGTAACATATTAATTTCTTATAACAATGCGCTTGTGTCGTGACGGAAGGCTTGGCTTAAAATCAAGATTACTATCTCGAATCACTCTCCGAGTGGTTCTGTCTTAAAGATAAGCGCTTATCCTAATGCGTATCGCGCGCATTGGCCTCGCGTTTCATTACATTTCGATTTTACTAAGCAGCTTGTTACTCTGCTTAGCTACCTCACCTCGCCTCATTACACCCCTGTTATTACACGGACGAAGTGTTATGTACGTCGCGCGACATTAACATTAGTTTACGTTTTGTAGTTTTCTCTTGTCTCATTTTATTATTATGTTTTTTTTCCCAACGATTTTAATCGGTCTCTCCCGCGGAAGAGACGCACAACGACGATGTGTTTTTTTTTTCGCGCGCGCGGAAATGTTCTTTTTCATTTTCTGTAAAGGCGCAACAAGCTGATGAACGTTTCCTTTTTTTTTTTTTAAACACGGTTTGAAAACCGTTTAATAAGACTGGGACTATAATTCTCGGGTACGATTCCCGCTCGTGCTCACGTCTCGCACGTGGACGCGCAACGAACGAACAAAACCGCAATTTAATACTCGGAGAACTGGAAACATACGTTTGATCTCTTGCAAATTCTCAAGGCATTTAATTAGGATTATTACTTGCGCGACGATGTTTAAAATTCTTGCATGCGTATAGCGAGGACTCGAGACCGTGGTTTTCGTATCGAACAACGACTCTTTCATCTCGCTCGTCGACGTGACTGTTTTTTTTTCTTTTCTTTTACGTTAATTACATTGTTTAATAAAAAAAAAAAGAGATGCACAAGGGCGAATATAGGTTTCCATAGATTTTTTGGCGCTGAACGACATCCTATTTATCACGTTGCTTTATCACGTGACAATTTTAGGAAATTAAGGGTGCAGAAAAGGGGCCATTTTGATGTATTTCGGCATATTATAATTATAATATATACGTGTTGGAAAATTTTTATTGCAATCAAAATTAAGCATGTTAGGACCTTCATCCCTTAAGCCTTGTGTCCATGATGCTAGACATCGCTCCAAGATCTCGAACGAGAAAGAATTGGCCAATCACATCGATCAATTGATCGAATTGTTCAAAGGTGATCAATTTTTTTCTTTCGATATCTGGAGCGATTTTTAGCACCATGAATACAAGGCTTTAAAAGAAATTTGTGGTGTCGATTAATATTAAAAAGATATGTATGATTAATAGAGTCTATCATAATGTTGAAGCAGCAACTTTGACACAATAGACGCTATTAATTATAAAGTATCTTTTTAACCATAGTTACAACAAATTCTTTTTAAGGAATGAAATATACTTAACATAATAGAAATTAACATAACAATTAATAAACATACTTGATTTCGATTACAATAAAACTTCTCCAACATGTAATTGTAATATGCCAAAGTATATTAAAATTGCTCTTTTTTTGCTATTTTAACCCTTTGACCGGCAAGTTTCGACATTGAGCTCAATAAATCTAGTATATTATTTTAGTTGTTTCTTTAAATGTATATTGTTTTTTTTTATGTTTTATATACTTTTTTTACAATTATTATAAAATTATTTTTAATATAGGATAAATAAAATCATCACTCATTGTCAGATATGAGTGACATGGCAATCGAAGTGTTAAAATTGTACAAATTTGTTCAAATTGCGACGTGATAAAGCAATCTGGCTACGAGATTGTATTTGGTGCTCGGAAAATAAAATACGGGAAACAATAACGCCCTTTCTTGAACTCGAGAAAAAGTCATTTTGTTAAAACATATACTTGAAGCGAGATTACGCTCGTGCTCAAGAAAAGGTATTTTTTTGTCGAATGCAGTATTAACGTCGATTAAGCCGTATGACAACCTGCAGGAATTGATACCGTCAATGTGATCGCGGTGTTACCGTGCTCCCCAGCAATCGTTCGCATATCCCGTTCCTGGCATTCCTGGCCCAATTATCTCAGTCGTGTATCTCTCTGTCGCGGAAATCTGTAAGCAGCATTCAGGCATGCGTGACGCACGTTCGCGGCTATTGACTATTAAGTACACTTATGTCCATTTCCACCAATGTGGATTAACTCTAATCTCGGTTTAACTTTTTTTTCTAATTATAAGAATTTGATACATTTCTACGAATGTAGATTAATTTTAATTTCAATTTAACTTTACTTTTTATCTTTTTTTTTTAGTTCTAAGAATTTGATAAAGATAAAGAGTACCTGAATTAAACCGATTAAAGTTAATCTATACTGAGAGAGAAATTTGTTGTATTTGTAACTATATTTGCAAAGTATTATAATTATTATTATTACTACTATAATATTAGTAATAATAATTATATGCATAGTTTTATCAACAAATGTATATAATTGACATCAACAAATTTTCAAACTTACTATATATTATAGTTATTATTGCCATAAAAATGGTGGCAGTTATCATAAAAATGGTTGCAATTACTATTATTTAACTATAATTTATAGTCGTTTTCGGGGGCTAATTATATTATATAATTGGTCCCGAAAATGACTATAAATTATAGTTAAATAATGGTAATTGTAACTATTTGCATGCAACAATAACTATTATATATAGTAACTTTCAAAATTTGTTGATGTCAATTATATATATTTGATAATTAAAAACTACACATATAATTAAGATTAAAAAAATTATGGTAGTAATAA